TTTTGGAATGAAAAGTTTCAAACTAAGGGATAAGGGGGAAACATGGAATAGAGCCCATCGAGTGAAATTGTATATGATCTACGATTCTTTAAATTTTACTTTCACTCCCATCGTTTTTAAGAAGAGAAGAGCAAAAAATATCTTGGGAGGAGTGAGAGGGGAGGTTCATGCGCCATCAACGCGGAGGGGGGGGCGAGGGGTGAGGAGGGGTGGGTCCACCCCTAACTCTGGTGATATAAATAAGTTTAAAGAGTTTCGAAGAGTAGACTTTAGCCAATTTTCATTGAAATCGGTACATCTATTATATCTGTAGCAACACAGGTTTTTCCGCCGCCATCTTGAAGAAAAGGTAATGCCGAGTTCGGAGGATCATCCTCAGGTTCCTATTGATACCCAATCTTAAAACAATCGGTCCAGCAGTCTTTCGGATTCTACGTATCTTAACTTAAAACGTAAAAACTCAAATTTTGAGGAGTCATTAACTTTTTTATTCGCTCAATTACAAATATTGATTTTTGAAAATAATAAACAATAATAGGAATAATAAACTAAAAATAATAATAAATAAATAATTGAAAATAATAACAATAATAATAAATAATAATAGGCATATTTAAAGTGAATTTTCCTAAATTCGGCAATAAAGTCGTGTGAGTAGACACACCACGTATTGAAATCGTAAGGAAATGTTGTTTAATTTATTGAACATGTCGAGAAATTTCAGATTTTGACCATTTCGTGTCCTGATAATCATACTTTTTAACATTATATATTCATGGTAATTCACCTTAGAGCACCATGAAACGATAAACGACTTATTTTAGGATACCACTGAAAGATAAATGGTTAAAACATATCAGTAATCTTACTATCTCATGGGTCTGTTCATGACCATTTAATAAATTATGATTCATTAATAAAACTGTAATAATATATTCTAGCTAAGAGAGCTTTCCAGGTTACATAGTTCATAATCCTGCACAAATTAAATCTTGCAACCTAATTCGGAACTCTAAACCGACCGTGGGGTAGAGGATACCTCTGTGTAGAGTTTGATGCCCTATGCATAAAGCAGTCGAGATAATTAGTACTTGATAACTTTTTTTTGACAAGGTGAAACGGTAAGTACTTATATCGATCTTGCAAGTCATATTAATGACTCCTCGATTGCAAGTAAGTACGTTATAAGAATTATATCAAATACAACCCATAAATGCACGAGTTATCGAAAGGTTGTTAAGTCCGATATTTTGTTAAATTTAACAATTTTTGTTATTTTATTTCAAACTCTACCTTGCCAGATAGATATTGCGAGCTTGGCAGCAGGGGGAGGGCACCCAGACGACTTACTAAATATACTGTTATTACGATTGACTGACACTACTGCTAGTGAAACAATGAAAAGGAACATATTTTCTTGTATTGTACACACAACTTGCTCTTCATTCCTCAGATTTGGCCGTCTTCTGCACCTCCTCTTTCCGGCACCTTCCTTTTTCATAGTGCAGCACCTTCTCATCTTCCCAAGGAGTGGATGGGATCTATGATTGTCTTCCATCCGCATTAGAGGTCCTTTAAGTGAATTATTATTTTCCTCGCACATTAGCTGAGGGAAATCGTCCTGTGTTAAAACGTAGAGATATATTTCCTTTATCAGTTTGGCATTCATTCCTCACAACTACGACAATGCGATTGCCGGTCTCTATTATTCCGTACCTGGAGCAGAAGGGATCACTTTTCTTCCCATGTTGAAAGAGCTATGTTCTGATTCTTACAGAATTAGGAAAACATAGCTAAGATAAAATTGTTGAATTTCACCTTCAGCTTCTGTAATTGTAATCGTATTATTTTTTAATTGTTGGCCTAAGACTTCCATTGAAGTCCTGTATTTTAAATGGTATTCATATGTTCGTTTATTACATTATAACTAACTGCACCACTGCAATAATGACGTTAAGAAGGAAAATTATTTATGGAATTAAGGGAATTGAAAATTGAGCTAGTTATTGGTCGTGTCTTGGAAAATCAACGGGATTATAGGCGTGTTTTAAATAATACGTTTGTAACTTCAATCAACCTTTCTCTGTAATACTGATATTATAAATAATGTGAAATACGTTATATCAACAATCAATTTTGACAACTATTGAGGGTGTTGGAAATTTAACTAGTTATTGGCTGTGTCTTGTAAACTTCAGGAGTTGATGGGCGTTTTTAAAAAATAATATATTCGTAATCTCTGTCAATTTTTAGATCTCTGCGATAATGATATTATAGATTATGTGAAATAAATGATATCAACAGTTAATTTTGACTATAGTTGTTACGTTAAATAAAAATTAAATGTTCTTTTAAACTAAGAAGTGGTGGTTACTACTATTCTAAAAAAATAATAAGATGCTTAAAAAGGAGAAACTTTTGGTACTTCCATGACACAGTTAAATACTAATTGGAAGATAGCAAGGTCTTTGAACTCCTTGATTTTGAGTTTATGTGGGCATTTCGTCCTCCCACAACCTGTAGAACCAACAGAATACCATTAAATAAAATATTCAATTATCAATTTAAATCAGTAGCAATTTAATTTTAAAAATAATAAAACATTTTTTTTTATAACTGAAACGCTTCCAAATAATTGTAAATAGATTAAATAAATAAAAAGTATTTAATACTTACGGATATTGGGTTTCAATATCTACTCAATAAAATTTTTAGGTGGCTCAGTCCTATGGAACAATTTGATGAATACTCAAATAGGTTCTACACGGCTACAAAATCTTTAATTTTTCAAGTATCTTAATGCTTGAGCGTGTGATTGGAGACAGCCACACTTAGAATTATAGGGCCCAATATCCAATCTTTGTTGAAAACGAGGTCGAACTTCATGATGTTCTATCAGTCATATTGTTTGGAAAAATAATTTATTGCTGAGACTTAAAAATTTTTTGTTTTAATTACAATGACATTGGTCTTCCATATAAATGAATTGTTTAGTTTTAGAAAAGTTTTTTTTTTTTTTTTAACTGATTACATGTCTACCTAAAATAATAATAGTATTATTGTGAAGAGTTTACGCGATGAATTTAAATATAATAATAGTAATTCTTTAGGGAAAAAAAGCAGACTGGTTTAAGGGTACATTTATTTGCAAAAATCTCTATATTCGTTTTCAGGTACATTACCAATGGTTCTGTTATATCTTCGGAATTATTCGCGATATAACACGTTAAAAAGAGATAAAAAAATAAAAGAGATAATACATTTAGTCAGTTAAAATTCACATAAGATACTATATAAAAAAAATAAACCTATCGATTTCGTAATGTAATAAGATCTCCATATTCATCTGAAGTTCGTTAAAATTGCAATACAGAAAAATTAACTTTTTTAAAAAGAAGTAAGTAGAAGAGGTAAGTCTGCTTAAATTTACGTTGGAGGCTATCTGAAAAGAAAAGGTTTTCTATTCTAAAATTATAATTTAGTGAAGTTGTATACTGTAAGGATAAAGATTGACTATAGACAATTTTATAATTACGCTGCGTTACACATATCTTTTAAGCTTATGATAATTTTATTATTGACATTCGACTTTATCGTTTCTAACTTCTTTTCCAAGTTACGAAATATTTTCGGTTCCTGAAGCAGAAAATTTAAAATTGTTTCAGAACGTTATGATTTATTTTAATTAGGAATCGGAAGAAGACTACAAAAATAATCAAGCCGGCAGAGAACGGATACAACCTTGACAAGGGTCAGTGGACCACTGTCTGGGCGGGATATGATTCAGGGCCGACTGGAAGGTTGTGCTCCTTGATATCAGGAGTGGGATTGGTATGTGGAGCTGTAAATAGGAAAGGGTTTCGGAAGTTACGACCACGTTTTTACAGTTTGGGCTACCTGAATTGTTGAAACTTCCTGTTGGGAATTAGGTTTAAATTCAGTCGAGAATGATATAATCAACAGAGGAAGAGTTTATTACAAATAATTATGTTACAGATTCTTTGAAGAAAGAATTGCCATCAAAGAAAATTCGTAAGCCTAATCAAGACCTCATCTGAAAGTCTTCTTTCCTGTGTGGTTCCAAGATCCCAACGCCTTTAACAAGAGGAAATATTTAACCCTACTCAAATGAAACAACTGCAAAACGTTTTAGTTCGAATTAAAAATTGTAGGAGACTTAAGAAGTTCTACTAAACGAAGACAGAGGGATTTTATCATCCTATATAGTGCTAAAAATATGAAGTCTGACCGCTTTAGATTTAGCAACCCTGTGATGGGCTGTTCCTCTCATGCTAAAGGTGAATCCATGGTTTCCGCTGTTTCCATGATCATGAAAACTATATCTTCATCATTATGAACAATACAAATTGAAAGCAATCCATTGACAGTTGGGGACATACTTACATTTCCTTGAGGACCCCTCATTGAAACGAGGGTATCATCCCCCCTTCCAATAAATGATCTATCTCTCAAGTATCGTATGTGCAATGATCCGAGTGCGCATTAAAATAAGACCCAACTAATTAAAAAGCATAAATAAATAAATTTTATTTAACATAAGAATTAAATTTCTTTAATAATTTGCTGGCTCCTTAATTGTTCCGATCCAGAAAAGAGCCTCATTTGTCTCTTTAATTCCAACCATGCTATATATAAAACGTGGCAAATAAATGAAATCTTATACATACTATACAGACGAAACCTTCTCGAAATATTTGTTTTGCATCAGGGTTGTCATTATCAGTATGGTAGAATGAAAATATTGAGAATATTTTGGTGGTTATAGAGTGGTTAGTTATATTGAAGCATTTAACTGTAATTATAACGTCGTAACGTGAATGAAAAAAAAAAAACTTCACGACTTTTGTATTCATTGGTGACCCATTCGAAACGTTGTAGATGCTTTAGAATTCTAATCTAGATTTGACAATTTATTTTCATTGAGATGAAAATAATACAGCAGCTTGTAGTTCTGGGTGCTATTTACTAAATATTCCCAAGTTGAGCGTTGCCATATGAAAACTCGAGCATATGTTTCGTAAATTTTCTAGTGATTTTTAGTCAGTTCTTAGTCCCAAATTAGTTGAAAGCTTTAACATCCTCAGCTTTTTTATAATCTTAAGACATGACTGCGATACATTACCATCTCTTGCCTACAGATTCTTGGGCAGGTAATAAGAGGAGTTGGGAACAAATTGCAAAAGACTTTCCTTTTACTACTTTAGGTTTATTACAGAGGCTGACTGTACTTACCTGAAAAAGGCGAAATTTTTGAAGAACCACCAATTGCCGGGTATTGATGAAATTAACCTCTCAGTTGGCTTCCAACTAGCGGATATATTCTTTCCTCAAGCCGGTGAAGGACTGAAAAAATGTGTAACTATTTTTTCATAATTAAATATTTATGAGAAGTAGTTGATCGTAGGGGGGGGGGGAGGGGTGCGGTCAAATATATACTAAATAATAGAAATAGTATTATTTATGTTTTTTGCCGACGTTTCGACCGACCCCCAAAACATTAAATAATACTATTTCTATAATTTATTATTTATTTTACCGCACCTCCCCCCTCCACCCCCCGATCAACTCCTCATATTATATCATGGTGATTGAACTATCTCTATATCATTAAATATTTATGTAGGGCACGTTCTGGTTGATAATATATCCATGCTTTATATTACCATAGGTGGGGTACGGTAAGAAATTGGAAGGGCCTAAGGAGCAGTTATGGATCTCACCAAGTGATCAGCTGATGGGTAAAGTAGTGCTTACTGAGCCATTCCCTAGGCAGGAAGTCCAAGCTATGACTCATCAAAATATTCTGGGTAAATAAAAAAAGTCAATATTTCTTAGGTATAAATTTATATTACCTAAATTTAAAAAATAAACATCGATAGGAACTACTTTACAAGTATTGCACCACTTTGATGAGTTGGCACAAGATCACATGCCCAGCTCTATTATTCTTCGAGGAGTTAGAGTTGCTGAGTGTTATGAAAGAAGAGCGGCTCTCAGCAGCAGGTCGATGATTTGGCTGCAGTTTCAACAGAAGAGGCTCAAGACTGAGGCTGAACGCTGCGCTAAGTGACAATATGTAAGAGAAAAAACAAAAAACTGCTGCTTGAACGCAGACCACCTATTTAGAGGAAAAAGAACTTCCTATCAGCTTATAGATCCAAGGTGATCCATTCCAATCCAAGAGTTCATTCAAGTGAGGTGATAACGTATCTTGGAGTAAGATTTGGAAGAAATTTTAACATAACGCCTCGGTTGGACTACTTGGCTAGAAGAATAACTCTCTCTCAGAATGGAGGAGTCGGGAGCCCTCTGTAGGGCCTAACATACTTGGCGACGATTACGATTAATAAAGAAGTAGTACAGGATATTCAGAGTTACGAGTCCTCCACCTGGTATCGTAATCTCTCAAAAAAAACAGGGGATGATACAGAAAACGGGTCAACTGCTGATAACCAAAGTCTACAGGACTCTATCACATCAGGCGATGCAGGTTTTAGCAGGAAGAATGCATCTCGACCATATCCTGTTTGAAGACGCTACCGTGTACAGGTCTATAGAGAAGGCTCGTTAGAAATTCCGGAGATTATTCTGGTAAGGATTGCGAATGAACACAACAGGTTGAAACAGATAATCTGAAAGCGCACACAAGATGAGTGGAAGCAAAGGTAGTCGACAGCCCTAACGGGGACGATCTTATGAAAATTCTTTCCGGCTCTCTATTTCCGCTTAGCAACAAGGTGGGTACTACCGAACTATTGTGTTTCGCAAGTCCTCATAGGCATGAGGGCTTTTTGTCAAACTGCAAAGCTTTGGAAGGACATTAACACTCTATGCCCCAGGAGTACGTAGTGATGACTACGTAAATAAATTGTATTAAAGAAATATCAAATGAAATAAAATTGAAATATTACATAATATAATAAAAATAGCTTAAGAAATAAATACCTTTTTTTTGGAGGGGAAGATGACGTCATTGCCCAGGTGGAGCGCACCAAATGTGTAAGGCCTGCATTAATTCAACCTTAGTGCCTCGTAAGGCGGAAGGCAGCTGATAAAGGAATCTTTAATGGAAAAAGGTCTTCCTGAATTCAATAACTACGTTTATAAGACATGGATGGCTTAATAATATAGATTATCATTTATTTCGCTACTCTCGGCAAAACCCTTATCGCTGTTAGGCGCAGATTTTCCATTTTGGTTGGAGGGGCGATGGACCCTTCATAATTGCTAATTTGAGCATAATAAATCGCATATATTACATAACTTCATGGAGTGAATTAATAAGCTATAGTCTAAGATGATGGAGTTATTGTTGACGAATAGCAAAAGTTGTATAAAAATGTTTAGAAGTAGTAGATGTAGATGGTGTGTGGAGGAACAAATAGATATTTTGTTATGAGAAATTTGTTTTACAGACCTTTTAGATGGTTGACCATCTGATTCAGGCTTCCTCAATTGCCTCTCTTGGGCTTCAACACCAATCAATAAGTATCTTTGCAACATTTTTGTTGATCTTATCCATTCATATTTGTTTTTTCTCTCCAATCTTGTCCCTTTTCAGCTATTGTGTCATTTATACAAAAAGAACATATACTAAAATTTATAACTTCCGTTTCTGGTTTAACCTGTAGTATTAATAATATATGATGTTTACATGATACAAATTTGTTTTAATTAATTGAATTTTGTTTATTTGTATCAAATGTTGATTTTAATTAATAATGAAGCGGGTCTGTTTCTAGAGTTTTTTTAATCACCATAAATAAACCATGATGGTTAATGATTTATTCCTTGTCAGTTCCAAAAACGTGGTGAACAGAGAACAGCAAAGAGCAAAGAGTAGCTGCACCATCATTAAATGCAATGACGATACATATTATAATAATCCATGTTTTTTTATTTTTTAAATTCATTAGTCTCGTAAACACTGTGAAAAAGATTAGCTGTTTTTTAATGTGTTATTCTGTTTTAAACTGCTGGTTAATTAGTGCAAGTGATTAGGAAAGGACCTATTTACATATAAAGCTAAAACAAGGGAATTAGTGTTAGCGGAACATTAAAAAAAAATGACCGAGACATCATATGCAGACAAATTTATTGTAATGGAGGCTACAGAGGCTATAAGTGAAGAAAATTCAGTTTATCAAAATGAACAAGGCATCTGGGAAACTGTGACAGGCCACAAGGATCATTCTGATGTCGAGAGAAACCAACCGGAACTAAAGAGAACTGCTGCTGCAGCACCTACATCAACACAACAGTTTTCAAATATTGAGAAACAATGAAAAAGCTCGACCACAACAAGCTACCCAAAAGTAATTGATGACATCCCACCGCCTATTTATGTTATAGAACCGGGGAAGAAGAGGATGATATCCCAGTGCAATAGATGCCAACAGTACAATTATACTAAGACCTACTGAAACCATGCACCCATGTGTGTTAACTGTGGGCTAAACATGAAAGCTCTTTATGTCGGAATTCAAGAGATACACATGCTAAGTGTGCCAACTGCCAAGGAACACATCCAGCAAACTTTTTTTTTCTTTTTTTTTTCACGTCCAGCAAACTATAGAGGATGCAAGGATGCTTGAAAGAACTTAGAAAAATAAAAACTTTGCGATCACAATCTCATCTTAAGCTTCAACCTACTGCTCCCCCAATGAGACTACAAGACTTCCCTGCACTGCCACAACATCCGCAACAACCCAGCCTTCTCAAAGAGGAGCCTCTGCACTCTTCAACCACTACAGAAGGAAGACATAAAAAAAATGTAAGCATGTCAGGCCGGTACTTCCGGCTGAAAATGTCTCTGCTCAACTTTTACCACTTATTAAATGGTTTAAATAATATTATATAGCATCTTTTCAGTCTACTTCAACAAATCTACACAACATTACACTCCATAACATTAGCAGCAGTATACCGTCCCCCTTGTTAATCGCTGACACCTGACATGTTTTGTAGTTTCTTTAGAAAATTAGGAAAGTGTTTCATTGCTGGTGGCGAATACAATGCTAAGCATCAATTAGGGGGATCGCGATTGTGTTCTCCAAGAGGTAGAAATATTTTAAGTTATTGGCCCACATCGAGACTATAATCAGCTGACCTACTGGACTTTTTCATTACTAAAGGACTACAGGCCGTTCCTTACACAGTTAAATCAAGCTGTGATCTATGCTCTGATCATTCCCTTCTACGCTTGGTCCTTTTTGAAGAATCATGACCAAAGATAGGACGCTCATTGCTTATTCAAGGAAACATAGATTGGAATTGTTTTCAAGCTTACTTAAATCAGTAGTTTTCAGTTCCTCTCTCACTAAAAAATGAAAACAAAATCGAAGAAGCCGTTGAAGTATTGAAAAAGAACATTCAGGAATCTGCAGGGTTCTCATAGAATCCGAAACACAAACAACTAAATAACCAGCCTAACCACCCTCAGTGTATAAGGGATTTGATCAGAGCCAAGAGAAGAGCTTGAAAGGTATGGCAGACTGACAAACTGCCATCGGATAAACAGACATATAACCGAATAAATAATGAACTAAAATGACAAATAAAAAATTCGAACAAACTAACTATGATATTTTTATAAATAACCTCAGCACTGATGATGGAAGCTTATGGTGACAAACTAAATAGCTACTAAAGTATTGCGGGGTATCTGCGCCACTACGAAAAGACGATTATTCTTGGGTCATGTCTGACAATGAAAAAGCTGAACTCTTTGTTGTCCATCTATTGTCTTCACACCACATACAGACTACCCAGACAATGAACATGAAAATTATGTACAAGATTCTCTTGAAATACCCTTAGCACTAACAGTACCTCCTCTGACCTTCACTCCATCTGAACTACAAAAAGTGATTCAAAAGTTACCCGAAAGAAAAGCTCCAGGGTGTGATCTGATAACTGCAGAGGTACTTCAACATATGCCCAGAAAAGCAATAGTATATCTAATAACCCTATTCAACACCATACTAAGGACAACAAAATTCCATTGCACTGGAAGTTTTCACAAATACTAATCATACAAAAATCGAACCAAAATCTCAATAGCCCTTTCTCCTACAGACCCATTAATGTATTTCCAATTTGCTCTATAATTTTTGAGGAACTATTTTACAGGCACATACTCAACATATTAACAGAGAAACATAGTCTACCTGAATACCTATTCGGATTCCGTTCACTACATTCAACCATACAACAACTTCACAGATTCACGGACTACATTTCAATTGCACTAGAAAGTAGATTATATGCTACTGGTGTATTTCTGGATGTTACTCAAGCATTCGACAGAGTCTGGCACGATGAACTGCTCTACAAACTTAAATCATTTCGTCCTTCTACCTATTACCTCATTCTTCTCTCCTTCCTTTTAAACAGATTTTTCTCTGTCCGACAGAGATCGGAAACCTCTTCCATACATTCAGTAAGGGCCGGAGTATGGCAGGGATTGATTCTTGCACCTTTACTGTACATTATATACACAAAAGATATACCAACTTACTCTAACACATTAATCGCAACCTATGCAGATGACACTGCTATTCTTACCAGACATGATATAACACAAGTTCGTTGACCCTACAACATTATTTACAAATATTACAGGAATGGTTTAAAAAATGGAAAATTAAACTCAACAGTGATAAATCTTAGCATATCACCCTCATGCTCCGACATGACACTTGTTCACCAGTTTATATAAACAATGTCCCCATACTACAGATTAATACAGTTCATTATTTAGAACTCACTTTCGACAGGAGGATGACCTGGGAGCCGCACATTAAAAAAAAAGTCTTACCTTAAATAATCGACTAAGGCTTTTGTATTCTCTCTTACACAAACAACTAAACTAAATGCTTACACTTACTTACTAAAACTCATATGGACTTATGCATCGCAAATCTACAGAATAGCAAAAAAAAAAAAAAAATAAAGACTTTCCTATCAAAATATTTAAGACTCATCACGCGGTTAACCTGGAAAGTCAGTAACAAAACATTACATACAGACATTACATAGCAATAGTACAAGATCACATCCAGACATCATATAAAAAATTCTATCCCAAATTCCATGAACATACCAACATATTTAAAGAAAACATGGCCACGAGACATATGCTAGAAAATACCTGACGAAGGCTGAAAAGGAGCTTGTTAAGGAATCTCTTATAAATTTTTCTTTTATTTCAACAAAAAAAATCATTAGTCCTCTAAAATGAACAAACACCTTTAAAATAATAACAAATAAAATTCTTTAGATTTCTTGTATACTTTTTCAAGGAAAAGTCACAAAAGGATATACTTGTCTAAATCGCAAACAGTTTCAAAATTATACTCTTTCTTTTCTCAGATGAATAATTACAAGTATCAGGAGGGTATACAAATTAATATGCTAATGGGAAGCTATATATTTTCAAGAAGAATCTTGAAAATTTTTTTATGCTTTAATCATGATAAGACCAATGGGGTGACATTACCCCAGTAGTTTAAACAGTTTTAAGAGAAAGTCTTGTTCTAAATAACTGAATTATTTTTTTTAATTCAAGAAATTGGCGAAAATTTAGAAAAAAAATTTGAAAAAGCACGAATGGAAGAATTTCAAGAAATACTTAGAAGAAAAGAAGAAGCTGTAAGAAAAGAAATGGAGGAACTATTAGCACAAAGGGTCGATGAAACGAGAAAAGAAATGGAAGACATTTATAGAAACAGATTACAGTATGCAAAACAACAACTTCATCTGCAATATAAAGTAAGTGAACAATTTATCATGAATTAAAAAAAAAAAAAAAAAAAAGAAACCACAGTAAAAGAATAAATAATTAAAAAAAAAAATCCAGCGCATATTGAAATAAACCTGTCTGGGACAGAATAAACTAGCATATCTACTTTAAAACATCGATGGGTTGTTATTGAAGTTGATTATAAATATTGAAACTTAATGTTGTAGTTGATGAAGTTCAATAATTTTCATTCTTCTTCTTCTTCTTAAACAATTCCTCTTCTACTTCTAGATCAGTGTAGAGGATCCTGTTTATAGAGCTTGATCCATTTATCTCGTTCCCGCACCAGCTGACTGCGTCTATTCCAATTCATTCCTTTCCTATCGAAATCCTCCCTGACTGAACCTTCATTTTACTTCATATATGGTATTAGCCATTCTTCCCTCATGCATTCTTTTGACATGGCCAAACCAGCGTAGCCTGTTTTCCTCAATTGTGTTTTCTGCTGGTTTTATTCCCAAATTGCTTCTTATCGTTGTATTCCTAATTTTGTCCCTCCTAGTTTTCCCCTCTATTCTCCTCAGAAATGGCATTTCCAATGCTTGGATATTGCTTTTATGTTTTGAGATTATAGTCCAGGATTCGCTGCCATAAGTCAGTATGGGGACAAATGTATTTCTATACACCGTCTTCTTAACATTTTTTGATACTTCTCTCTTTCCTAAGAAGCCTGTTTTTAGTGAATGGAAGCATTTGCTAGCCAGTTTTATTCTTTCTACACAGGATTATTTCTATAGTCAGTTTTTTAATTAATTTTTTTTATTCATTTAATTTTTAAGTTATGGCAATTGGCAAATATGTTTCTGAACTTATATGTGCTATGATATAAAACTTATAAATAATTGAGAATATTTAAAATTAAAAAAAAAAAAATGTTTTCAAAACACTCATGGGATCTTACTGTGCAATTTGAGTCATGAAACTAGAAAAATAGTTGAGCTGTGGGCTAAAAAAATTGTTAAATACCTTCTAATGAACACACTAAAGATATTTAATATAATAATTTTACCATAGTTTGGACTAAAATGGTTTCAAAACATTAATGGGATATCACCAAATAATTAGGGCCATCAAACTTGAAAATTTGTTTACCGATTCGCTCAAAAAATCGTGACAGATGGCCAACCTAAACACATTATCCTACTTGTGGCTGCACCATAGTCGGGTAAAAAATAGCTTATAGCTTTTCAAAGAGAAAAGTTCAATGCTACTGTGATAATAAATGTAATAGATAAATCATTGAAGCTAAACATAATTTATTACAATCTTTATCTTGTCCTAGATCAGGTTGTTATTTTTTTAAATCTTGCAGCTATTCAGTTATCCTCAAATAATTGTACATACAAGTTCAAAACCTTTTCGAAAAATGTCCTCAAATACTTGCAAATCACAACCATAGATCTATAGTAGAAGATCAACTTTGAGATAATATAGAATAAATAAAATAAAATTTTATATTTACCGTAAAATAGAAGAAATATGTTCTTCACTTAGTTGAATTTAACTATCATCAGAATGGAAGTATTCAAACTAAATGATCTCTGATCTACCAGACCCAATTTTTTTTTCACTACAGCCAATCTTGACCTGAGAAATTATGAAGATTAATTTAATTAATAAGTTACCCAACTAACAAAGATTAACAGAATAACAAAATAATGTTAACATCATTATGTATTTATTTACAAATGCACAACCTTTAGATGCCAACAGTTAATGACAACATACAAAAACACTACAAAAAAATTCACGATAACTTACATAGACATATGAACTCTCTATGTTCAGAGCATGGCCGCAAGGAGCATGCCATATAGCACCCATAGGAGTAGGCTAAAGGAAAAAGTTGGATGAGGGGTGAGGGATCTCAACTAGATATAAATAATAAATTCAAGATTATAAGATATCCTGAATTCTTTTATTGTATTTTAATTTTTATATAAAATACATTCATCATCATCATCATCATCATTTTGAGCACTACAAATCATTACTCATATAATTCATTATTGGATCCTGGTGGACTCAAGAGTTGTCTTCCATTCATCTCTGTCCCAGTTCGTTGTATAAATCGATCAGTTCATGATTATGCCTTGTTCGCCATTCATGATTCTCTTTAATTGGGTCATATACCTTATCTGTCTTGTATGTATTTATGTTTTTATTTTATTTATTGTACATAGAGTGTGAATGTGATCTGTGAACTCTATTATAAATGTCCTAGAAACAGATTGTAATATTTTTCAATAAATAAGTTTAAAATTAAAAATATATATATATGTATGTATATAAACACATACATACATATATACTTTTTTCCTCTGTTGATATTACAGACCTTATAGATCTTTTGTTTCCTCATCAAGTCAGTTCCATCTCTGCTTATTTTGGGCTATTTCTTTCCAGTTATCTGCACACAGCTTCATTGCATTTTTGCTGATTCTATCTATCCATCTACTTTTTGACCTTCCACGTCGTCTTTTCCCTTCTATTGAGGCATTCCAGAAGAGGCTTCCAAATGGATTGTTAAGAGCTACATGCCCCGCCCATCTTAACCTCTGTGCCTTTTTATCATGAGCTATTATTTACCAGTTTCTGTAAGCAACTCTTTATTGGTCTTTCTCCTCTATGTATTAGTACTCTAATCCCAGATCGCTTTTTCCCAGAACGGCTTTTCTCTCAAATCTTTCAATACTTGATAGGGCACTGGTTGGTGTCCAAGTCCCACAGCCATATATTAGAACTGGTTTTATTATAACATTGTACACACTTAATTTGAGATTTCTTGAAATTTCAATATTTTGAGAGGAAGAAAAGCTTTGTTTGTGGTAATTATACACTAGTATATTTCTGACTGTTAGTCACTCATTGAGATTATTGGAGAGCCGAGGTTGTATACTATATTAGTAATATAGTATAACTTCAATGAATTAGTTAAATTAATATTATATTTTTTTACTCTCTAGATTAACTAATTCTCCAGCTGAACTAGATATTTCTCAACCCTGAATAGGGGGCTCTACAATATTTTTCTACTCGCTTAATTACCTCTGGAGTTGTCAGGGGTTCTTCTCTTGTTGTTGCAAGTTAAGTTAGCAATATAAATTTCCATCACTGATGGTTTCTAAATCTACTTTTTCTTTTTTCCTCTAGGATTTATGACATCATCCTGAAAATTTGGTCTGATATTGAATATTTTACTCATGGATCAATTAAAATAAAATGACATTGCATTTTCAATTTCTTAAAACTTAGCAATGTTTATTGATTTTTTCCTTATGTTTAAAAATTAGAATTATACGTATTTTTGTAGCTCATTCAATTTATATTAGGCAGTAATAGCGGATCGAGACCAGGCATTATGTAGGAAAGCAGATGAAAAAATCCAGGCGTCATTATCATATCTTCGTCAGTCAATGGCTGAAGAAATGGAATTAATGCTTAAAAGACGGACAGAGTACAACCAAGACTTAAACTCTTTTCAAAGGACTTGGGATGCTAATAAAGCTAATGAAAATTTCAAGAAGAAAGTAAAGTAATTATAAATTATGAAGCCTAATTTTAGAAACTATTTTTACTTCATCAAAACTTGTTATTCTGTAGTATAGATGTTTTGGTTGATCTTATGGTAAATGAAGAACATAGTACAGATGATGGAAAAAAAAAAATTATTTTTCATAAATTTTCAGGTAAAGTTGTTATACAACTGTGTTTTCCATTCTAGTGTTCTCCCATAGGAATTGATCCATATATATATATATATATATATATATATATATATATATATATATATATATATATATATATATATATATATATATAAATGACAAACTAAATTAACATGATTCTATGGTTCTATAATAATCTGATTCTAATATTAATATTAAAATAATGAAATCTGCTGATTGTTTAATTCTTTTTTTCATGAAAACATAAATATTAAGATCAGAAACATTTTGTTTGTCATTTATAAATACAGATAAATTCCTATAGTAGAACTCTGGGTGAAAAACACAGTTTCATAACCACTTTACATTAAAAAATTATTTAAAAAGAAAATTATAAATAAAAAGTGTATTTAGGAAATTAAATTTATTACAATACATCCCAGATAATGGAAAACAGGAAATAAAAGCTTTGCAACAATCATACAAATGATTTCTTCTCGAAGAAATTTCAAGATAAATAAAAAAAAATTCTCTCTCTCTCTATTTATATATATATATCTATATATATATATATATATATATATATATATATATATATATATATATATATATATGTATTCATCAGGCTTGCATAACCAATAATATATTATTTGTATTTATCCAATTTATATTTATATAATTATATAAAGATTTTTTTATCTACATAATTTATTTTTCAGTGATTTAAAGAAGAAATGGATAAAAATATTAAAAAAAGCAAGAAAAAAATGTGAGTTGGAGAAAAAAGAGGTTGAAACAAAATTAATTGAGCAACATGCTATTGAATTAGAGAAGGCTAAAGAAGCTTGTAATGATGAATTTTTAGCCAGCTTACGAGCAAGAACCTGTAATTATCGTAAAACTATTTGTGATTTACTGAAAGAAATTAGAAAAAAGGATGAAGAATATAAAAAACTTCAGGAGCAGAAAGAATGTGCCCACGTTGAGCAATATTCATGGTGTTATTTAGTCAGAGAGTTATTAAAGCAATATCAAAAACTAATAAATTATGCATTAGGACAAAAATCAGGAAAAGCTGAATACTTTCTATCATTAGAAAAACTATTAAATTCTAGGATTGAATCACTAACTGATGTGAGTAAATTGTTTTTCACTTATTTATATTTTATTGTGCCTTTTTTTATTTCTTCAGTACTATGGCCCATGAAGGACCTTGGCCTCAACTATTTTCCTCCACTTAGACCGATCCTCTGCAGCTTCTTTCCAATAACCTTAGGTCTGCGTCTACATTGTCATGTAGTTTAGTCTGCCTCTAACTCTTTGCTCATTTGGATGTCCTTCCATTATGTGTTTTGGTAGTCTTTTTTGATCCATCACATAAACATGGCCCAGCCTTCTTCTTTTTTTAGAGCAGTAAACTATATCAAGTTTCCCATATAGGTCCTTAATTGGTACATGTGACAAAAATTATAAGCTCTACTGGACCAAGTGCAGTTAAGGAAGAGGAACAGATTGTCAGTGATACTAGCAGTTATCACAACTCATCTCTAGTTTTTGGTGAATACCTAGAAGTGCACAGGAGTCTTAAGAAACTTAATTATACCGATAGCTATTTCCACATCCAGAATATCTGGTTTTTCAACCTCAAGTGGGTCGATGTCCTCTGTATGGTTCATGTCTTCTTTATTTGTAGGGTTCTCTTGATTAAGAAGCTGCTGGAAGTGTTCCTTCCAGATGCTTAGGATCTTTTCTTTTGATGCTGTCAATTTGTCATCTTTCCCTCGCATTTGTGTGTTTCTCGTTTTATATCCTACCCTTTCTTTCCTGATATCTGCGAAGAATTCGCATATATTTCCAGCCAGCCAGTTTTCATCAATAGTTTGTAATCTTTCTTTGAGAAATTCTCTTTTGGCTGTTCTTATTATTTTGTTTGCCTTTTTCCTGTGTATTTGTCCAGCATAGCTTGATCAGTTTGTCCTAAGCAGGGGATTTTTCTTCTGTTCTCCACTGGCTTTTCACATGCTTCTGTGAACCATTTCTTGGCCTTTCTTTTTTCTTGAATCCCTATTACTTCCTTAGCTGTTTGTTTTAGCCCTGACTCTAGTGCCTCCCAGTGTTTGCCAACCGTGAGGCCTTCCGCGTTCAAGGGTTCGAATTTATTTTTCAGCTCAATTTGAAATTCAGCTTGTACTATAGGGTTTTTCAAATTACGGACTTCCTATCTCTTTCTTTCCATTTGGTCCCCAATTCGGTGGATTCGCTTCAGCCTCTGACAGAGTTTGATTCTAATCAGACTATAGTCTGAATCGTCTCCACGATAACTCCTTATGTCTTGTATGGAGCTTTGATGCCTCTTGTCTATCAGCACATGGGTGATTTGGCTTTTTGCTGACTCTACAAGAGACCATGCCTCTTGTCTTATCAGCACATGGTCGATTTGGCTTTTTGCTCCTTTAGGACTTACCCAGGTGTACTTATGTATGTCCTTGTGCAGGAACATTTGTAGTAGACATCCCCCTGTATTTACTCCTTTAGATGACAATGTGTGAGGGAATTAGAAGGAATATATAATATATAGGAATGTGAGGTTGCAATTGTACTCAATTGTGCAGTGGACAAATTGCTCATTGGAAAATCTCACATCAATAAACAGTCGAAAAGAAGAAAAGGTCCAATCAGGTAGATGGTGAAGAGGTGAAGATGGTGAAGATGGTGAACAATGGTGAAGAGGACGCTTCAACAGATGCTTCAACAGATGGTGAAGAGGATGCCAAACACTTGAGGCCTGGACACCAACACAAGAAGACGTCATCTGGTAAGAGAGGCTTACTCCATTGAAGACTAAGAATATCAAGCCTACAGTTATAAGACTTTTATACATTCATTTATTGCAGTTGAAAATAAATTGTTTTATTATACCGGAGTGAATAGTCCTTTTATTTAGTTGTCCTATAGGTCTCACAATCGAAGAATAAACCAGGTGAGTCAATTCATTCAAAGTGTTTACTAAGTCCCACATTATATATATATATTCTTATTGTTTCTTCTCACTCAATGTCACAAAAGGTAATAGATCCCCGAATTCCCAATCACACTTAAACACCCTCAAAAGTCGATATCTAGTGCCAGGGTTTTGTTTTAATAATTCACGAGTGTAAATAACCCTAAACCCAGATATAAAAGCGGAAGGCTATGCGCCTATTCTCGTCAAAACCAAATATTTTACATTTAACTTCCTGTAGGTTATTTACATATTGTACTGCTTACTATTAGACCTTTAGCTGCTGCCAGACTAATACATCTTACTTCATTGTCATTACTGTGGAAACTTTGGCCTCCGATGATGGGTTTAAATTGGGTTTCTCGACCTATCTTGGCATTGAAATGTCTCATGACTAATTTTATGTCATATTTTGAAGCCTGGTCCACAACTTTTTCTGATTGATCGTAGAAATCGTCCTTCATCTCATCCTCTTTTTCTTCCGTTGGTGCATACACATTAATAATTGTGATATTAAACCAATGACCTCTTATCCGCAGCACACTTATCCTTTCATTAACCGGAGTGAAATTTATTACTGACTTCCTTGCAGCCAGATTAACTATAAATCCAGTGCCAGCTGTCCCATTTTTGTCGTTTCTCCAGGTGTTGAACAGTGTGTAGCCGTCTATAGTGGTTTTCCCACCATCTGGCCACCTTACCTCTTGAATGGCTGTTGACTGTATGTTGTACCTTTTTACTTCATTACCTACCATGTGGGAGGTTCCTCGTCTGTATAAGCTCCGAACATTCCATGATCCAATATGGAGTCCGCTATACAAAGCCGGTGTTGTTACCATCTTAAGAAAGTCAGATTTTCCTGAGGCTGAGTTTTGGTTTCCTAATACGGTGTTTTTGACGAGATTATTAGGTTATTAGCCCTATGCCCTATGCCCAACCCCCAACCTGGAGGAACAGGAGTTATGTCTGCCACAGGGTCACTCACCTCCATGTGTAAGTTGCCTCCATTAGGCTGACAGGTTCACATACCCCAGGGAGAAGGGGAGGAATCTCGGGCAGTGTGTCTTTCCGTGGTGGACTGTCTCCCATCCAATTACTAACCACGCTTGATGTTGCTTAACTTTGATTGCCTAACGCAAGCGCCTTAGCCTGTACGGCTCCCATATGTATATTAATGTTTTAGATGAGAGATCTCCAAAAGTTTTGGCCCTCGGGCCACATTGAGACCTTCATCCAAGTCCTTGCAGGATCATGGCTTGTGATAAAAAAATAATTTTTTTTTTATTTAATATGTATTAGGCCGTAGAACACCAATAACATATATTTTTATTTTATTTCCTTATTTGTCAACCTATGGCATAACCCTAAAAAATATGACAAAAAAAAAAAAATCGTAATTTATAAATGATACTTCAGCTGCGAAATGATCTTATGAAATAAGTTTTAAAATTTAACATATAATCAAAGAAACTTTCCGTTGTTTGGAGACCTCTGTTTTAGATGACAATGGTGCAAGGCACCGAACGCTTCATGTAAAAAATAAATAATACAAAAATTAGAATGTACTTAAAGGGTATTCTTCTATATTTCTTTACGATTGTAGATAAAATTTTAAAAATTTATTTTTATAGGTGGATTTCCTACAAAAATATATAGATGAAAAATGTCCAGTGCTTCAAGAAAAACATATCGATCTAAGTGATACAGTATTAAATCTCCAGTCATTAAAACAAATTAAAGAAGAAGAGATAGAAAAGCCTTATTACCCCTGTTTACCTGTAGATAAATTGGAACAAAGAGAAAGAAGAAAAAAAATGGAGATTAGAAATGAAGCCATTAGGAATATAAAAAAAACTCTTGATGATCTGATAGGTACAGTTATACCTAAACTGACTGAGCTACCATGCATAGATAGTGAATTATGGTCAAGTGGCAAATCTGAGGAAAACAATGTTGCGTGGCCACCTGAATCGAAGCCTCCAGGTCTCCGGATTGTTGGAAATGATGCTGATCCTCCTGAACAGCCATGGAATAAATTTGCTGAGGATCGTATCAAATCTCTTGTCCAGGTATTGAACAAGCATCCTGTTTTAAAACTTAACATAATTGGCAATTCAGTCTTATGAAAATAACTGAAAATTTGTTTTTAAAAATAAATTTATTTAAATAAATTTTTAAATATTATTTATTTTTAAAAAAAGGTGAAATAAATGAAGTAGTCTGAGAACCATCTTTTGTGTTGGGCCTTTGGGTGTTTGTCACACCTATGAAGAAGGAATTAACTATAGGTTGGAAAATATTATGTAGGAAAATCTGACAAATAAGGATGATAATGTTGGTATATCAAATACATATGTTACGTTTTTGACAGAATTCAATTGCCAAATGGCAAATTAGCTTATACATTAAGGATAATATTTTAAACAAAATGTTGGTATAACAAAATAAGTGAATAGCTCAGTATAAAACTGATTGATTAATATTGTTTAATAGAACCCCAATTATATCTGTAAAGAACAATTTGTGATAGTATATGTTTAATCGTGTTTCTTTTTTTTTTTTTTTTTTATCTTGTTCCCAGCCTTCATTAAGTTTACCATCTCTGGAACTACAATCACGTATGGATCTTTGCCACATTAAGATGTCACATTCATTCATCTCTGATCTGCACCAGTGTCTGCCAAGCTCTGGTGTTCAGAAACTTCTGTGTATCGATTTCAACCTCAACTACCCATCATTTGTTGTCGCTCTCTCTTTCTCCTTCCAATATGAGCTTCTTATTGTTGAGTCACCATCCTTTTTAATTTTACTTACCCAGCCTATCATAGCCTTGCGAGCTTTATAAACTGCACCACATCTGGATTCTGGTAATTTTGGTACAACTCTGCATTATCTATCTGTATAACTCTGTACTAATAGCATATGCACAGAATAAGGATCATGCCTCTGAGGCAGTGTAGGCCTAATTAAAGATTTGTACAGAGAGGTCTTAGTATTTATTGTAAGTAAATGAATTCTATCTATTATGCAATAACTAATTAGAAATATTAAAGAAATTGAAATTCTTCAACTCCAATTAAAATATTTGTGTACAGCTCCACAGTCCAAGATAGACCTTTAGCATCTTGTCAGTTAAGAGCTTTAGTTCTCCTGCCTGTTACTCCCATTTTCTTGAGTTCATCCTCCACACCATCGACCTAATGTTTTCATGGAGGTTTCTTTTTCCTTATTGTTCCAATTACTTTTTCCAGGAGGAATTTTTTTAAGCATTTGGTCATTGCTGATCTGTTGCAAAAATCTAGCTGACCCTCTGGGACTTGATGAATCTTACAATATCTTGATTTCCCAGAATGTCATTATTACTTCTTAGTTTTCATACTTACTAACTGTGTAAGTTTCCCAATAAATCTTTTTAATAAAGTGTCATTCAAATATACTTAGTGGCTACTTATTCGTGACCTTTGTTGTCCATGTTTTTAATTTGTAGGCAAAGACCCCAAGACAAAGTCATTGTAATCCCATACACATTTTAAAATCTAAAATAGGTACAGTTTCCTGCTATTATCCTCTTCCTTAGTTCTAATTCCACCTTGTTTTCATTAAGGTGGGTTAAATTTTTTATTTTCTTAAAAATATTTTCACCAATGGTCATTTCAGTTCTGTCCCTCCTTGTAACAATAATTGTAAATATAAATGTGGGGACTCTTCTATTGACAAAACAGATCTTGTAGATCTTTAGCCGCCTTAACCATGCTTCTCCCTCTATTGATGCATATATATGGGGACTCTTAGATATTTTATCTTATTTTTATTAATTTGAAGCTGATGCCTTCACTTCCAAAATTTCTAGGATTTTTATCCTTATCTTCGAGAAATCCTCTTTTAACACGTACTTTTTAAATTAAGACTAATTTCAATATAGCTGATAAATGAAAAGCAGAAAATGTACTTTTTGGCCAATTTTGAAATTGATAAGAATATAATACAAAGAATAAAATATATGCCAGAAGATGCGGATGTAAGAACTTGAAACGGAAAATAAAGTCATATTAGAGAAAAAAAAAATGTAAATTAATAGAAAAACAAAATAGACCCCTCAGGGAAGACAATAGTTTGTAGATACCTTAAATGATAAAATATAGATCTTCCTAGATAGAAGAAATTGTTATGTACGCAGACCAATATAAAATTTACATCAATTTAATATATATGTAAAACAATTATGAAAGAAAATACCAAACACTCAGAAGTAGGGTGCTAAAAATCTGCAAATACATATTTATCCGGTTTTAACAGTACCTATGCATAAAATGAATAACAAAGAAGGTCTGAAAGAATATCAAATTCTATACCTCAAATGTCATGTCACCAATCAAAATTGTTTTCATGTTCAGCCACATTCTTAGGTCTAGTTCAATATTATACTTGGCATAATGTTACTGAAACCTCAGGTTATTTGTTAAAATTCCTTAAAACGTAAATGATGCTGAGAAGTTCTTCACCAATTCAGTCAGAAAGTATGTTACTAATACTTGGTGACCTTTTGGACTTTGCCTTACAAAGTCTACCTTTCTTCACTATCAGCATCTGATAAATCCATCTGAAATGTAAAAAAAATAAATAAATAGAACAAAAATTTTAAAATACAATCCTCTTTCCTAATTGATATTCCATGAGGCAGGACCTTGGGTCTTTTCTTTTACTTTTCATCTTGATGATGTGTTAACTAATTTGAATACCTTTTTGTAATCCTCTACAAACCACCTGTAATCTTTTATTTTTTAAAATAATGATTAATACTCTGGAAGAAAAAGAAAAAAAAAACTACCTCTATGAAGTGATATTTAAGTGGTCCTTGTAGGAAAAAAAATTGTTATATTTTTCTTAGTATATGCTTGCATTATATGCATATTTATTTAAAAAGAGCACATATTGCGATTGTTTATATATTTATCTTGATCACTCTCATAAACAAATATGGACCAATGAAAAAAAAAATAATTTTTTCATTTTGGAGAGAGGCTTCAACTAGTCCCTCCTCTATCCTCCCCCACCATAGGTCCATCATAGCTTTTAGATCTTGAAATGATTTTTTTTTTAAACTTGAAAGATGCCTTTTAGAGATTGATTTGAATATGTGTCATCAATGAGGAGAAATACCCCTTAAACATGAATGATGTTGCTAATATAGCACCTTGGTACCTCTTGCAATTTGTCTGGAAGTTGGGGACTATTGTACCAATGGCCTACAAGTAACATTTGATAAATGTTATCAAATTACATTACCTAATTTTTATTATAAGGGCACATTTATTTTTCCTGATAAATTTATATTTCAAAATTGACACATTATCGACCTTAATGTAGGCCATAACACATATTCAGTACAAATATTGAGGAAGCCATACTGCCTTTGTTAAGCAGACATTTTTACTTTCACTTACCTATTTATGAAATATATAGTAAAGAGAAGTATTGTGATCCTTAAAATTTTCGAATCTGCGTTTTCAATGGAAATACACTTTTTGAGATTATCTGATTCAAAAAACCCCAAAAAGTGGTGTGTGTTATCAGCCTAGCTCAAAAATCACAAAAATGAAAATTCGTACGAAACAGGTATTACTTATTTAAGTATAAACCTGGGATGTTACAGCAACTTTTTCCTGAAAATCGGCTAACCGGATGTGTCACTTTACAGCATCGATTTTACACATTTTTAAGATTTTATAAAAGAACTGCTAGGTTTATCAATGTATAATTAAACGGTATTTTATATCATCTCGGTCTTGTCCTCATTGATGTCGCTTAACAAGGCTTAAATACCAAATCTTCAAAATGACTTCCTTTAATACCTCTGATTCCTCTGATTTGGCTTATTTAAAATAATTAACCAGTTCACATAACATAATGGTAGGAGAAATGGTTAAATACAAATTATGAAAGAATTTTATTGTTAACTAAAGGAAAAATAAGGATTAGGTATAGAAGACGGAAGAAACCTGAAAGCGCATCTGAGCTTGGCCGAAAGGTTAGAACGTGCTTCCAAACGTTACACTTGCTTAATACAATATAACACAGGCTACGGTAATATTATATGTGTAGTTTTTACAAACGCTAACGTTGATATTATTTAATATTTCATCGTATATATAGGTTAGCAAAATTAAAATTAAAAATTGTATGTTTACCAGCTCCATCGGATCCAGGGTTTAATTTTGAAGGGAGGGAGGGAGGGTTGACTTCTTTCTATCCGAAATAAGTTTTTTTCACAATATATAACGATACTTAATTTGAAAAAAAAAAAACTAACTACCTATCTGAAATTGTGTTAAAGTGATTCTCGAAGTCCTATTAAATGTAATTACACGAACCATAATACTTTAAGAGATAGTTATTAATATTATTTTCTACAAAACATGGTTATATTTTACCATTTTGGGAGGGGAGGGGGGAGAGAAGGGGATGGAGGGTGTTCTTCATCCCGAAAGCCTACCTCCTCTCCCGTAGATCCGCCTGTGTTTATCAATGCCTAAACAAATAAAAATACCCCAATGAAATATAAATAAGTATAGTGACCATCTTTATCAGTGGTACTCTTATCGGACTAAACATATTTCTTATCTCTTAATTATTTATTATAATTAAATAAATTATTGAAATATAGAGACGCAAAAGAAATGGTTAGTGAAAAAACAAAAACATAAATGTAATACAATAGACGGCTGTGAAAAACGTATGGCAATTAATAGCTTTAAATAATACGTTGTACCGTCTGTAATTTTCACTTTTACTCCTCTACGTATGACAATACCTATTTCTGCTAAAAGAAAGATGGTAAGTAAAAGTTGTTAAGCGCACGTTGCTCCAGATTTTTTTTTTTTTTTATAAAATAAAGTCGACCGATAATGCGGATACATTCAATGTGCAGGTGAAGATGTTTTTCAATTGCTCATAATTTTTTAGAACCAATTAATTATTTATAAAGGCCCCGAGAGGCCAGTGGTAGAAATCGACCCTGTCCTTTGTGGCGGGATGCGTTAGGAATAAAATAATAGTCGTGTAAGTTAAGTTATTCAATGTGCTCAGAGGTCGAGCGGAAGTAACCAATCTGTTCATTGGCTGACCGAGTAATGCTTGAGGTTCGCCCAGATCTAAAAATCTGATAACGTTC